GTCATCCAAAAATGAACTCAAACTACACACAAATAATAATGGTGACAGACGTCCCGGGTATGTGTGTCAAGGTTACAAGTCTGTGTAAATCAGACTAATTGTGTGTATATTATACATAGATTTAGCTATCCTTACCGAGCCATCTCACCCAACCTTACATACACTACACATACGTTAAAAGCAATAGAAATTGCCTAAAAGCAAGTGCCGCATTATTATATCTGTATAATTATTACTGTATTGTGTAAATGTTCAGAATTATTAATCTAAAATTGTATTACATTATTTTATTATTAAAAGTGTATTATCAACTGTATCAATACACTAATCGTAATTAAACATGCCTAATATTAATAAACTATTTTTAAACATACTACTATTACTTTTCAATTATTTATTGATAAATGCAATTGAGATTAATAATTATAGAAACCTTATGGCCGATATTAGGGTAAATGCAAAAGGTAAGTGAGTGTCATTATAAGGTTTGCATTTATTTGATATCTATGCTTTAATTTTTAATTGAAATCGTTATCGACAACAAAAATTATATTGAACCAGGTAAATTTCTACAACTTATATGGAGCGAAGATTTCATAAAACCTAGCTTGGATAGTAAATGGAAATTAAGTCACGACGATAATAAAAAATGTCAAGGTAATAAGGTTTGCTTAATCCTCTAGGTTTACTCGCTCATAGGGTGACCACACTTCCTGGTTTGACCGGGACAAAAAATTCCAAAATTAATTAAATTTAGTATAAGTGAAAGATTAATCTATTAATCATATATAATTTAGAGAAGATTTAATGTATATAAAAGTAAGTGTAACAAATTAAACCATAATAATTAACTCCATTTTATTATTACGATGGTAAAAATTATTGTCCGAGGATTTAATGTGAAAATGTAGTGAAATATAAGATTTGACAAAACTACCAGAACATACAATTTTATTAAATTTTGTGAAATATTAATTTTGATATAAATTTATTATGAGATGAGGTTAAAACATAAAAGTGGAACATTTTTATCTTATAAACATAAAACATAATAATTAATTTTGAAAATTTATAGATAAAAAGATTATATAATGTCGTATTTTATATGTATTCGTATGAATATTTAACATTTATACCCATTCACAAAAACAAACATGTAGTTTATCAGATAAATATTTGAACACTTGTTTTGTTTTAACTCATCGCATATTTCTATTAATATAATACAGTGACAACTGAACCTCATGTGGGCTGTGTTTACACGGCATCTGAACGGAACATACAGTTATGGGACGGCTGTGTAGCCCTAACCGCCCGTCGAGACTATTCATACAGCCGACTAAATGGCACACAATGGTATACGTCGGCCAAATTGTCTACCAGTGCTCCATGGGACAGAATAGGATATGTAGAAATAAGGGCAGCATTACCCCGGGGCAAAATGCTATCACCAGTTATAGCCATTCGTGGATCTAACGGAATCGGCGTCGACCTAATCAGGAAATACAGTTCCCATGACCTGAACAGTCAGTATAGCTTGAAATGGCTCGAGAGGGCTGGTGCGGAATACATAATGGGCCCTGCTACTTATGATATCATTAGCAAGGCTAATCTAAGTCAGTTTCATACATATGCCGTTGAGATTCACAAATATGAAACCCATTGGCTGTTTGACGAGCACCGGTATCTAACGTTGAATGATTTGGACGGAAATGAATTTGATGGTGATTATATTGAAATCAATTTTGAGTTAAATGTGGGTGGTAATAATTTTGCCAATCAAACTCTCGGGGAAACCGATCACATGGGGTGGCAGTGCTCGGCGTTGATCATCGATTATGTCCGCGTGTATAAGTGGTCGCACCGGGTGGGCGTACCTAACACTTCAGATAGCGACCCCACGCTTAGTGTTAATATTTGTCACAATATTATGACTGAAATTAAGCAAGATCAATTAGTTATCATACGAGATAGCGAGGCAGATGTTTATGTGTTAATTATATCAATAGTAATTATATTGGGATTAGTTTTAACGCTAATACCGATCATTATATTCATGTATTGTAAGCAAAAACGATTGAAACAAATTAAGCGCAAACAGCAAACGGAAAATAATTATGAGGATAATAATGGCATTGATTTGAATTATGATTCCGATAAACAAGATGACCACGATTATGATAATCCATATGAAGGCTATGATACAGTTAATGAGATAAATGGAGATTATCCTGATAAGCGGTATCTTGAAATAACTGAGGGCTATGTTATGGGGCGTAAGTTGGACGTTGATATTTACCATGATAATGGTGTAGATGATTATATAGAAATGAAGATTAATTCTTAAATAAATTTTAAAAATACAAAATGTAATCAATAAAATTTTTTATAATTAACAAGATTGTTTTTTAAACAATCGTGAAATGTATTTATTGATTTAAGCGTAATACACGAATTAATCAACAAATGAATTACAGTATTATTGAAGTTTATTAATATTAAACGTACTTGTTATTCATTTATAAAAATAACGTTTTGATTATATTTAAATATTTTTAGGTTTGAAATTTTAATTGAATTAAATAATTTATTATTATTAAGTATTATATTATTAAAATACATAATGTATATGCCTAATACTATTTCAATCAGAGTGACCAACTCCGATTTCACTAATAGTGGACAATTTGTTAAAAATAGTGGACATAAATTTTTATAGTATAATTGAATTATAATTTTTGGTTTTATATAATGTTTTTTATATAATCACTATTTTTAAAATATATAAAAATACATATCAGTTGAGCAAACTTTTACAGAAACTGTAAAGCTTTTCATATAAAATTAAAAATCTATGTTTGAAAAGCATCCCAAACTAAATATACAGTATTAGTGTTCAGTACAAAGTATAATGTGGTTTTAAAAATAGTGTACATTAAATTTAGTATTCATTAATAATATATTTATTACAATTTTTAAATATATATTGTATTACCTTTCTAATTTTATTTTTTAGTGTACATATAATGTAGTTTTTGTGTCAAGTTTAGAACAGTTAAAAATATTCATAAAGATTAAATGTTGACTATTTAAAAATAAAATAATCGAATATAAAATCTAAAATTTTAACAAATAGACTTATTTAAAAATCCATTGAATTAGTTGAAATATATTTTTATATACTTAATAAATAAAATGAAACTAATTTCATACCGGTAATAGGATAACATTTATTCGTTAACTTTTATTGTGGATTAAAATATTATAAAATTTACATTCAAGAGATCAATTCTTAATTGGTCAGTCTGGAAATAAGCCAATTTAAAATTTTAATAAAGAACAAATTTAAAATTCTACAGTTAAAATATAAGTCCTAGCTTAAAAATTAAACATATCAAATATGGCAAAAGTATATCATCAAGGTTTAAAAGATTTAAATGATAGTTCTATAAATTTAAATGTATATTAGAAATCTTGCTAAATATCCATATTGATATAATATTAGTTAAATAAAGTTGTGTGAATCTGTTAGTATTTATGATTTGTTTATTATTGATGGAGTACCTGGAAAATTTTAACATTATTTTAACTTGATATTTTATGAATGTAATTTTATGATAAATGTTAGAAAGTATCTGTATTTAGTAAAATATGTGTACTTCTAAATAAGTTTTTAAAAGTCTTAGCACTTAATTAATAAATATTATTTATTGTTACATTGTTATAATAATATTACTTTGATGATTATAATAATAACATAATATTACCATGGTAAATCCTTAAGGTAATTGGTGAACTTAAGATACGCTACGAACGGCATCTCTCCTACCTGTGCGCGCGGGCGACCATTTATGATAGCACCGGGTGATCGGTGGTCGTCCCACTTGTGCTATAGAAAGCACATGTCGTTCATAAACAGCGACTCCCGACCCGCAACGCACTCGACATCCGTTACGTTGGGATAGTATCCGATACTAGCATTAACTGCGCTGACGATCACCAAGGTATGAGTTTCAAAAAAAAAGCTAAATGTATGAGGCACAAAAATTGCGTACTCAATTATACAAATTATTTACATAAATAACATAAATTATTGTAATCCTGTTAAAACTATTATTTACAGCTTAGTATAATATAATGATTTTAAACTTACAACTAATGAGTAGAATATAGATAATATAAGTTTTTGAAATATACTTGTAACAATTATGTTTTAGTTAATTATATAATATAATGTTGATATTTTAAATGTAGAAATTAATAAATATTTTTTAATTTATTTAACAATCCATTGTATGCATTATATTCATAAAAATATCACGTATCAAGTACAGGTAGCCCCTAATTTAAACTATATTTTATTATTTAATTAGATAAATTTATTTATAATTTTTGTAAAAATAATATCATTAATAAGATTAATAAGCAAACAAAAATATTAAATTAAAAAATTTTAATACTAGTATAAATAACTTATGGATTATAAGTTAAAATAAATAAACTGATATATTGTGTCCCAATTAGGATGACCACGACGATTGTGTCCCAAACCATACACTAAGTCATCATTTGTGACATTCATATGAATTAATAATTTTCAACGATTATTAAAATGTATATATTGATGACATAATTCGTGTATAATTAGTACTTATAGTACAGAGTATGTCATTGTTTGTCACAAATAATACATTCGATGATTAAATAGGTTTGAAATACACAGCCCGTCGTCACCATACACCTGTCCATCGTGTGTGAGGGCACCGGGAGTCCGCACAACCACAACATATTTGTGTTATATTTTTGTTGTCAAAGTATGTGCACAATATGTGGTCCAATACCTCCTAATTTTCGTACAAATTCTTGTCCCCAACTGTATATACGGTTGAAAGGACTCAATACATGAGTAGACTTACAATAGATATTACGACCGAAACCCAGACCACAGACACCGCTATTACGGCATAAACTGTGCGTTAAATCCAAACTTATTGTCAATAATGCTGTCATTGCTTTCCACGCATTCATTACACCATAGGATTCAATCATTGGTGTCACGATTTCAATATATTTAATATTTTACAAACTAATTAATGAAAGATACAATTTATGTTTAAATCATTGAGTAATAAATGTTAAATTAATTGGTTACGTGTCTTATAATACTAGTATGTATTGCAGTATATTATGATAATTGTTATGATATTATCGTTGAAATCATTGGTGTTATAGATAACTATAGCTCTAAACGATTATTATAAATATTTGAAGTAAAATACTAACAATTCTATAATATTATTATAATTTTAAGTGTTAAGCGAGAGAATCTTGGTATAGAGATTTATCCCATTATCGAACAATTCAATAAGCAAGGTGCTGTTCGTTACGACATTGCCAATTATACGATGTACTCGGATGTTAAGACTGATGGCGAGGATATTGCCCTTATAAAGCTAAATGCAAGTCTAGATTTTGAGCAAGCAAATGTCAACAGCATTTGCTTACCGGTTCGACATGCGTACAATGAGCATGATGAATACGCGTTGATAGCGGGCTATGGCTTTATGGATTCAGAACAGAAAACTAAACCTGGTACACATCAAGTATCGCGGTCAAAATTATTTGGTAGATTCAACAATAAAACAGACCTTTATGGAAAGTTCATGCTCACATCTAGATCGCTAACAATTGGTGAATCTGGGATACAAATGGTATTGCATTTTATTTATTTTATTACCGATTATCCTTGAACAATTTACATACACCTAACGATGTTTTCAATTAAGAAGTAATTTTATTTTGAAATTAACCATACATAACAAAAAAAATTATCACTTTAATAAGTGTACATGGGCAAAAATTTGATAGGCTAACCTAATAGCGGTATAAGTACATAAAAAATATAGTTGAAATTTTATTTTAGTATGAATATTATGCATATAATTATAAGACATTTATTTGTATATATAAGGCAAGTCAATAAAAAACAAAATTTTTACCGGTATATCGTAAACGATAAAAATATGAAATTCCAAATTAAATTTCTAATTAAATTTTAATTTTAATATACTACAGTAATGATGTAATGACTTTGAATGTAATTTTTGAAAAAGCTGTTGGATTTAAAACATTGAAAACAACACCAAACTGTAGCTTATTTATTAGAGCATAGACGTCCAAAATTTTAAAAATCCCCAAAATAGTGTTTTATAATAATATTACAATTTTTACCTATTCAAAACACTATAGTATTTTCTGATTTAAATGTGACTAAGAATTGTATTGAAAACATTTTTATTTATTAAACAAAAAATGATATTTAAATGATTAAAATACAAACTCGTAAGAGATTCCTAAACATATAATAAAAATATTTGAGAAAGTAATAGTCATATATGAAAAACTAAGTAATATTCATGGGTATTTAACTAAATGCTACCTTAATCTTTAATGTATACTATAAACTTTAAAATATTAGTGTTGTGTATACTCAGGCTAAATAATAATAAATAGTAAATGCATACATCACTAGTTGGTTTCTGGATATCTGTGCTTCTAAGTATTAGAGATTCATTTGATATGTTTGTTTGGCTGTAAAAAATAAATTACAAATAAAATTATCTTATTTTCAAATTTTTAATATTAATTTTTAATCATATAAAGTTTATATTATAAACTATAAAATTCTAAGTGTAACCTGTTTAACACATTATATGAGTACTAAAAAATCTACAATTATATATTTTCATTATTATAATTTTAAAAATAATGTTTTATTAAACATGTGTCAATTTTGGTATGCAAAACATAAAATAGTGGTCACCGTTTAAAATGAGATAATTTTATTTGTAATTTGTTTTTTACAGTCAAATAACATATCAAATGAATCTCTAATAAATAAGCTACAGTTTGGTGTTGTTTTCAATATTTTAAATCAAATAGCTTTTTCAAAAATTACATTCAAACTCGTTACATATTAACTGATCATTACTGTAAACTATTTATATATTTACGTTCAGGGTGATTCTGGGGGCCCATTAATACAGTTTGTGGACGGACGGGCTGTGTTAATAGGTGTGGCCAACTCGCATTCAGATTTCTATTCATTTTATACTCGTGTTTCCGACTACATTGACTGGATTATTGATGTTATTGTATAAATTATACTATAATTAATTATTTTAGACTTAAATAAAATAAAATACTAATTTTTATTATATGCTGTCATTAAATTTTTATAAACCATCATTATAAAATTAAATAAATAGTTAATCTTAATTGTTATTATATTTAATATAACATTATAATTATGAATATTTTAATTTGAAATATTATTTGAAAAATATAGACATTATATAATATTAGCTTAAAAATAAAATATTTGTTTTAGTTATTGTAATTAAATATAAATATTTTAAGATTAAAATTAATTTTATTTGATAAGGTGCCATTCGTAAAGTATGTATGCAAATGTTTGTCAAAAGTTGACACACTCATTTATACGCTCCCCCCCCCCGCGTAAACCGTATTTAATTTAGATCAAAATTATTTGAATTCAGAATTATTCTTATTGTTTAATTTAATTTTAGTCAAATAATAAGCTTGGTAAAACTACTAATTATACAGTTAATTATAAATAACATACATATCCGTTAGTCTATCAATGTAGGTTACAATCAATACCTAAATTAATCGCGATAACTTTTAAACACTAATCAAAGTTCATTGAATATATATTCTTATCATTATATTCCGTACAAAACAAGGTCTCGCATTCGCATATACCGTGACGTATTACTAGGGGAGTATATGTACTCGTAAAATGTACTCAACTTATATAAAACCTAGTATACGTGCTAACAGTATAGCGAGTATTATATGGGACAGGGATGTAGATGTGTAGGTATATAATGTGTGCCATTTCCTTAAAACTTGTTTGTGAATGTGCCTATTAAATTAAATTATATTAAATTGATTGACAATTGAATTACTAGGGGGATTTTCCCCATAGGCTTACTGTATAATGAAGTTTATTAATAGTGTTGTTTGTATTATAAGTTTATTGAGATATTCAATACATCCTTACGATTAGATAATTGGCTACAAAAAAGTACTAAACTTTATAAAAACTTTTATATACTATGATAGTTATCAAGCAGGATTTTGTACAGTAAGTGTATTAATAGTTGGCATAATAAATGGTTAGTTAAAGCGAGTTTTGACTCTAGTTTAAAGTACCTGCCATTCAGTGATGCAATAAAGATATGAACGTTAGGCGTGTTAAATACTTGTAGACAATTTGCATTATAAACCTATAATTATTGTCAACAGCAAATGCAATGATAGGATAGACTGGTATGTTGTTTACTATTTCCCATACGAGTGATTACAGACTACTATCGCTATTAAAATAAACTATAAGTCGAGTATAAATAGATTTTAAAATTCTATATTGAGCAAGCAGGGTTAAATAAAATAAACCATGTATTTACTATCATGTATAAATAAATTTATTAACTAGATTATCATGTTCATTTTACGCATATATAAACACAAATAGTTGCTGTACTCGTTAGCGAGTATTGACTGTAGCGTTAGGCGATAAGCGTAACAGTATATGCGAGTGAGTGTCATATGAAAGTGCAAAGTGTTTGTTGTGTTTATATTACCAGTAGTTTCGCAGTAAATAGCGATTATATTGTGTGTGAATTAATTAATCACTAGTTAATTCGTACTAGCTAATTAATAATAACAATAATTTGTGAATCAGCTAGTTACAATAAGTCACTTAATTAATAGTGTTTTCATAATAACCACTCAAATAGCGCTCAAAAATAACTGTTTATTATATTTGGTGTAAAAAAACCCAAACTTTTATTGTTTTGTTTTGTTTCCCACTATTTGTGTCAATACTTATTGACTAATAATAATTAATAATTAATTAATAAATTAGTTAATAATAGTTAATAAAAAGGCAATGAATTCACTGAAACTGACCGCTAGTTTACGGCATATCTATCGACCAAATAATGGCCATAACGTCAACACTATTAAGGCGTTCATACGGTATGACTACAACTACACCCCTCTATATACATACCCCCACCCCCTGTAGACACCTCCCTATGTGGGGTAAGGTATGGGGTAGACCCCCCCTAGGTGTGTGGGGGGGGGAGGGGTTAGGGGACAGGGATTTAAAATCACAAATTATTTTTATTTCAACGCTAGCTATGTGTTAATGACATCCCTTTCCCCCGGCCGTCAACCCCTACCCCTACCCCTTGCACCTACACCTCCTGCGAGTATGACTTCCCGTATGTTCGTAACCCTTATGTCAGAGGGTTGGCCTACCCTTAATAGGACTGCAATTGAGAGCTACCTGTCCCTCTCAGTGTGTTAATTGTGTTGCAAAAAAGTTTTTACAAAAAGTTTTTATTAATTATCTTATGTTTAACACCACTGGAGGCTAGTTAGGAGTATACCCTATGGGGGGGGG